ATCACAAGGAAAATAATACGGGGAAATTCAAGAGAGCTAGCTTCGGTGCTCACCAAAGGACGGTATTAAGACTAAAAATTTTATATATTTGTAAAAAAAACCATACAATTTTGAAGAACGTTTTAGTAATAAAAATTAAATTGAATAATATTTCAAAATACGTGAAATATTGTTATATTTGTATTATTATTTTATTTAATGATATATTTGAATATATTTGCTTTAATGATATGTATGCGTTATTACTATATTTTTAAAATATTTCCAAAAATATAAAATAACATTAAATATAACTATCCATGTCACAATTAACCATAAGTTATGTCATAATTGTTTGTATACCATCTTTTTTTTTTTAAAAAAAAAAACAAAAGATGATTGTACATATGATATATAAACAAAATTTTAAAAATCACTTAATCAAATAATGTCTAAAAGATTCTTGTAAATACAATAGTATACTACTCTGTCATTAAAGTTTAGTATATTGTTGAAAAAAAACATAGTTTAGTATATTACACAATTTTTCTTGAACTTTTTCTTCTCTTTTGATCTTCCTCACTCTTCTCCCCTTTCAACAACTTGCACTTCTTTCACAGCTGTTCAAATTCTATATATCTCATATTTTCTATTTCGTTCCCTTGTAACAACCATATATGAAAACACTTAAAACTAATACGAATCTTTATATTTTATATGTTGTAAATGTTATCACTAATTATGATTGGTTATCCGAGATCCGGATTTGATCCGAGATCCACTCCGGATCTGCTTCGAAATAGGGATATCTGGAAGTGTCCGGATCCAAATCCGGATAGTAAAATTTCGAATCCGTGTAAACCGAATGCGGATCTGGATATCTTAATTTTAGGTTCAGATATCCGAATTTACATACGTATATTAAAAAATATATTAATTTTTTTTATTATTAATTATATTAGAATATTAATATTTATACATAAAATAAGTTCAATAATATTCTACTTTTATAATAATAATATTATATGTCATATATATATTTATAAATTATACTTAAAGATTTAATTTATGTATGATTTTTTAGAATTTTTGATTTTTTGATTTTTTTAATTATTTTAACAGATTTAAATCCGAATCCAATCCGGATACCTACAGATATTATAATACCTAGACGGATATCCGAAGCCCGGATATCCAAAAGACACGAACCCAAATCCAGATACTAAAACCACGGATCCGGGTACTTTAAATTTCCTGGATATTCGAATCCATCTCGCCCCTATCGCTAATAGTATAAATAAAAAGAGTATAACTTTGATAAAAACAAAAAAAAGGTATGACTATTTTAGTGGTATGGAAAACAGTTTAGACACGTACAGGACAAGGCCGGCTTATCACCAATATTGATTAAATAATTTATTTCTTTTGTCATGTTTATAGTACTAGACCCTGCAGTTGAGTGGTAAAGAAACAAATTTAGGATGTCAATACATTATAGGTTTGATCCATATAATGGATTAAAATAAGTCATATTTCTTTTAAATACTCATATATATACATATTTACTTTCATTCTATTTTCATACTCAAAGAAAATGCATATTCGTAAATTGTATCTCCACTTAAAATTAATATAATTGTTTCCATATATTTGGAATATCTTAAATTGATAAAAAAAACATGAGACTACTGTTTAATAATTTGTTAAGTGTATTCACCTAATTTCATTTAGATATGCCTATATTGTTTTTCTTTTATTTGTCCAATAAATTATATAGCTAATTCATCTATTTGTGTTACCAGAAATTGTTTTTGACAGTTATTGTCCTAAATAATTTAGGTCTGGAACAAATCGAATATCCATAGTATTTTAAGGTATTCGGATCCGGATCTTTATCTAATAGATCCATGTTTTTCTATTCTTATTCATACCATAAATTCTCAATATTGAGATATTGGATATCATTTTAAAATTGTAATATCCGACCGATTTCGCATCTAGATTTTGATCTTTAAATATTAATAAAATAATATTAAAATATCTACAATAATAACAATAATTTAAAGATAAAAATCTATAGATAATGTTTTTAAATATTTTCTATATATACTGTTACAAAATTTATTAAAAATCTATATATATTATTATAGAAAAAGAAAATATAATAAATAATTATCAATAAAAATTAGGATCCATATATCTAGACTAAAAATTAAGATATCCAGATCTGTATTCCATTTTGATGGATTCAACATTTTATTATCCTTTTATATCTGAATTTTGGAATGGATATGGATCGGATCTTGGATCGAATGTAGATCTCGAATACTAAGTCTAAGCCCTACGCAAAAAAAAAATTACATATTATTGTCCTCAAAACATTCATATGTTATTGTCCTTTACAAATCATATTAATTGGAAAATGACAAGTCACTGGGAAACAACTAAAATATGGGACGTGTCATCGATCACCAGTACAAGAATAGCAACCACATCTTTTGCTTTTTGGTTCTTTGGGTAGATTTTCTTTAACTTGTCATTATCTTGTTGTCGGAAGTCTATTCCTTCCATAGAAAATAAAATTTAAATTATGATATGGGTGGTTAATAACCAAAATAAAAAGTGTATATCTAAAGATTTAGCCGAGAAATCAGATTATTACTTGGATGAATTTATATACAGTTTTGACAATTTTTTTAGAGAGAATAAACAAAACTATCCTATTCATTATTCACAAAATATCTAACTATTTTATATTTTACATAGAGCAGACTTGTATTGAATAATCTGTGAGTTATGATTTAGAATGTTTGGTTAAACTTTGATATTTTAAATTTACAGTTTACTTTAAGAACGTATGTGAAGTGTAGTGGGAGACTTAGCTGAGGAAAGCGGAAGGATATTGGTTAATCGACTAAGGCATGTGAAACGAAACTATACTAAGTGAAATATTGGCAATAGAATCCCAATTTTTTTGCAAAAAGCTCTATATACATAAACCTCAAAAAAAAAAAAAGAAGCTGAACTCTCAAATTTGTACAAAAATATTCTAGTAGAAATGTAGAAATCTCGTATAAGTTTTCTAGATTTCAGGATCGGTCCTATGTGAAATATTTCAATCTAGAAATATTTGAAAACACGTTGAAAACTCTAAGTAAACATCAAGTAAATATTAAACACATTAACTAAAGAAATTTGTGAACAAATATTGAAAACCATTCTCCTATTACGTAACCATTTCCATGCATTTCTTACTACATAGCTATTTCTAAATATTTCTACCCAAAGTCCATCAATATGCAGCTTTAGACAACCTTTGACTCGAAGGTCTTTTATATAGCATTCACTTAACCATTTTCCTTAATTTACTAATTTCAGTTTTTATTTTTCTTAAACGAGTTCCACATTTTATAACTTAGGTTCTCATAATTAAGTGACTATTTTCTCATAAACAATCTAACACAACTCAATCACAAAATCACCAAATCTATCATGCATATCCTAAGAACAGTAGAACATCCTTCGATTCTTAAAGAGTTTCTTTGGAATAACAGTGAACAAACTTTCCATAAACGATTTATTGAACGCATAATCTTAATCCTAACAAACAAAATATGGAAAATACTTTGGGGTTTTTGCAAAACCAACCTAAAATTTCAAGTCAAACACAAAACCAACCTCTTTTTTTTTGTCATTACTATTCACTCTTAAAAAACCTAAACTCTCCTTATGTTTCCACCTATTTACCAAAATGCCATTATTTTTAAATCTGATTTTATTTTCGAAAATTATAAAAAACCTATTACACCCTAAACATTTCTCCTTATTTACCATAATGCCATTGTCATCAATATTTGCAACCACCCAAAACCACCATTGATGAGCTCTTTAAGCTTGTGTTTATAAAATTTCAACCACTTATTTCACTTTCTAAACAAACAATACTTCATTTCCTCTCATTTCCTCTCTATTTTCATCTAAACATACCTCATAACTCTTATTTTCATAAACACAAACCTCATATTTTCGATTTTATCCACAAGTGGATCGTAAATGTTGCTTCTTTTGCTCATATTTGGATTCTAGACGGTGGAAAAGCTTGGAAACAAGCTTTAAACCGGTGTCAAGGTAACTCTTTACAAGCTTTTCGTCATATCTCTGATCTGTATCGCGAATGTAGACTGTATGATATGTCTACACATACGTGTAGACTTACG